ATGTCAATAGTTGAGATCATGAGTCAATTGATGCTAGACCCCCATGGAAAACCTGGAAGCACTGGACGGAATTCCACAATAGGACTAAATGGCCGTCCATGGTTCCAGATTTTCCATAGTGATCTAGCTTCAATTGATTCATGATCTCAACTATTGACATTATTTATGCTTTCTGAAAGCCTTTAGAGTATTCACTTTCAAAATAAGAGTTTGATTTAACAATGTACAATTTAGAGTCTAATAACCATAACCAGATTCTGTCAAGTAAACATAACTGTTGCTCTACAATCATTTTATTGTTCTGACTGTCCTATGTTAATTTGACTAACTGTGGTGATAAATCATTGGTAAATTCGTATAAAACTATGTTAACATTTTTAATCTGAGCAAAAATTTCTGAGAAATCATCGACATAAACTATTTTCACATTATCCATAGTTGAGTTACAGATGAGGAAATGTATGTCTGCTTATTTACAGGTATACCATACTTACGACAGTTAAGAGTGATTGGTGGAGAAACTATACATTTAATTTTATTACTATAGTGAACAAAAATGCACGAAAGTTAAATTTGACTTTTTTTAGTAAGCTGTTATTCATTTTATGATTAGAATTGATTTGATTTAATCTCATTGTTAATATTCGAAATGAATTTCGGCCAGTCTTTCCTACCATACATACATCTTTTAAAGATTGTTTAGACGTAGCCAGTAGAATAGATTAATTTTTAACTTGCATTTGAATCCAAGACTCGCTTTAATTTATATTTTGAACTTATCAGTTACGTATATCTACATACTAGTTTTAATGTTTACAATTAGACTGGGATTCTCTACATATTACTTTGTATGATAAGACGTTAATCATTGTGAAAGGAAGTCCAGATATTCACTAACATGTCGAATTTGTTGTCGCACGGTAGATAAAATGCTGTCACTTGAAGTTAAACGTACTCACTTTAAGAACAATTTTAACGTTAACACTGATATACATTAGTAGCTACATTGCTATAAAATTAATCATAAACACATCAACTGTTTGTACCGATGACGTACGAATTAATTTGTTTCATTTCAATAAAAACCTTATTCCAAACATAATACTGTCCTCTAAATATTGTGTTATTTAAAAACACTACCCATAGGTGTTTTCAAATGCAAAAAGTTTTTCTTTAAAGGCTTATTGGTTTCAAGGAACAAAAAACGTTACATTAGTGACTTCTAATTTATGCATAAAATTTCAAAAATATATATCACCAGTGAATCATTTAGTTCCCAATAACAAGAATAGCTCTGAAGAAGCGGCTTACACTAAGCTACGAAACGTCAAAATCAAGATTTTTCTACTCATCGGAAATAACAATAATAAATTAACTAGTGTGGCTTTGGTCAGCTACTGATACTATTCACTATTATAACCATTTGTTCGTTTTTTTTATTCTTACTTAAATATGGTATTACGTCACATTACTGTGCATTACTATACCCTTTACTATAAAGTAAGTAGTCCATCAATTGGCAAACTACATTTTCTTACACACCAATATGATTTTCAAAATATTATTCTTTGTAATTTTTTTTAGTATTTACTTCATATTTTATTACGATAACCATATACACTACTTTAACCGCTTCATTTTAATTACTTTTTTCTGTATATATAAACATATATTACTTATCTTTTATCCTTGATTAGTTCTATTTTTAATAAAATTAAATCAAAAAAAGTTCCAAATTTAATCTAAACAGAAGGAAACAAGTCAATAACTATGTAGATACAAAACAAAAAGTAGAAACTTTGTTTCACTTTGATTTTTCGATTGTTTAAAGATTAAATAAACAAATATTAGTAATAATAATAGTAGTAGCAGTAGGAAACTGAAGAAGAAAATTAATTGTGAACCATCTGAAAAGGAAACAAACAAAAATAAAATTTTATTTTGTGCTTCAATTGATTGAGTAACTTATTACAGTTTTGTTTTTTTTTAATAACTGAAGTAATGTATGCTTCGTTGGTCTGCAAAGCTATATATATATATATATATATATATAGTTTAGATCATCAAACATTTGTTAATTGACCTTAACTAATACCATCATTTTAAGAAAAATGTATTCGACCGCCTGAAGTTAAAATATTTCACTGTACTTATCAACTATATAGTTTGTATTATAATCTGTTTAATCTGAGATACCATATCGCCCTTTAGTTGGATAGAATAACTAATAGTTGTTTTCATATTCCATAAAGTTATTAACTTTAGCAAATAGTAGCACATATGTTCAATCTATACATTTTGTTCTTTATATTTCAGAAATCACTTTAAAAATGGTCATGAAATAGTGAGATATTAATAATAAGCAGATGAACTAATTGGCAAGGTAGTGTTGAATAAGATAGAAATAGATTTCTTTCAAAATTACATTCAGTTCTTTGTAAAATAAAATAGTCAAAAAGCGGTTTGTCTAAGGTTTTTGATTCAAGATCATTAGTGGTCTTGATGACTTTTAAATTGAAAGAAGCATGAATCTTTCATGATTTGATTCCCTGATACCCACAGTTTATAACAAAATTTCAATTCAATCTAAACACTATTTTCAAGTTAGCGTTTCAGATTAAATATAAAATTCAGAGTGATTTATGATTGTTCATAGACTATGAATACTGGTAAAGAATAATTACCTCAACTGTAGAAATAACAGATAATAAACGGTTAACGTACTATAACATTATCTATTTCTGTGATTTTTTTACATTTACATGTAAATACTATTAAAATAACTATAAAAATAGTATTTAATTATACAACCTGTTATATCTGTAATTAGCTTGCTGTCTTGTATATGCTCAAAACGTCATTCTATAAATTATGGTTACCGTGGTTACATTATTTAATAAATATTAGATGGTTATACTGTCGTAAATGTCATAACAAGTTTATTTCGAATTTGTTCAGTTCGATTAAGAATGTAACAATAACTAGACAATCAAAATCTTAATTTCAATTACAACCTAGAAAACTCCATTTTTATCCAGGATAAGATGTAGAAGTGACCAAATAACAAGGAGAAAAAGAGTAATTATAACAATAAAGGTAGAACGTTCATCATTGTCATTGAAAGTATTAGTAGCAGCAGTAATATGAGTGATACTACAGTCTTTGTAGATTAATGAAATGACAAAATGTACAATGTATTTTAGCAGATCATGACTTCGACCTTAAAAAATTTCAGATTTATGTATGAACAGCTGAACCTTATGAATTATTTTTAAAGAAAAAAACTGGAAAATTTAAATCGATCATCTCTTTGAATCAACTATTTTATTTACAAATCAAAACTTACAGACCAATTATCTAATAATAGTTTTTGTCTGAAAATTTTATCACTATAAGGATTACTGAGTACTATGAAACGATAAACAGTTGACCTAGCGACCTAGCCCAATGTTTTTCAAAAGTTTACACATACAGCTACGCATGAAATGGGACCTGGATCCACTTGACCCTCATAGAGATCATGATATCCCTAAAACACTGGTTCAGAATTTGATTGGAAACACTTTGGTTCTTCTGTTATGTATTTAATCAACTATCCGTTGATGAGCAGTCTTTCAATTAATTTAATTATCGCCTTAAAATTTACGTTTATACTGACCATTATTTCTACATACTTTATAAGGAAACGACATCAATTATCTCATGAACGTTTAACAAATGGACTTCATAGAAGATATTCAGATTTTCATTGAAAAGCATTACGATTTACCCTTAACCAATGAGTTTTATTTACATCATATAGATGTTCCTGACTAATCTTCATAATGAAGTAACGAAGTGCTATAAAAGTAGATCGTTTATCATAATGAAATGTGAGAAATAGTAAACAAAATCTTCAGGTCGTTTCACCAGTTCTACTTGATTGTTTGGATATTTGAATCCGAGTCATTTGACACACTGTTAACAAATTAAATAAATCCACTGACAACAAACTAACAGTAAACAAATCGAAAGACATACGTAAGTCGCACAAAAATAACAATACATTTTTAAGAAAAGGAGTGAGGAAAATGTTAGATTGCTCACTACACCTGAGGCCATATGCTTTCCTTTTGTTTGTAAAATGTGACCCATTTTTACAAAATTGATAAAATAAACAGGTGAATATTATTTATTTTAACTATGTGTGGTATTGGAGAACCTATAGACATAAATGTTTTCATCAGAGTAGAGTGAACCAAAAACCCAGAAACTTTTTCCTAGACTAATATGTGAAAAAATATTCTACTTAAATATGATTGGTTTAAAAGAAATTATATTAAAAACGTATATTCCTCAACCCAAAACTCCAGAATCAAGACACATTTCAGGTTTGAGCAGTAGCTACTAACGAATTACGGAAATGATGGATGTGAATATGTTTATTACATAATAAATAAAGTCGTTTTTTCTGGAGCAATGAAAAAACTGGAATATTTCAAATTTTAAGAAATTTCTGTTTGCTGATGTTAAAATGGTGATAATCTATGAAAGAAGCTTATGTATAAGGGAGAAAACTGTGAATCCAACATTACAGTGGAGTGGCCACATAGTTTAATATGTGAAAATGTGTCTGATTTTAAAATATCGCAAGAGAATATGGATAGTAAGAAGTGATAATAATGAGGTCTGTTCCATGGAATCAATTATTCCTCGCTGTTTAAATCATTTAATATTATTTGCATTAGTGTTATCAACTCCGTTAAGTATTCAATCCACAAAAAGCATGCATAAACGTCAGTTATACTCGGATACATTAAATTTATTTACTGGAAATATTTCTAAATTACCTCCTGTTGGATTACCCACTATTTTAAATTGGCGTACTAATTTATCTTTGGATTTTTTTTCTATGTCTAAATCTAAATTCAACCGAACAAAACCAATTCAAACAATAACATCTAATTTGAATGTATATCCTCATATGATACTGGATGTAAATAAATCTAATAACGATGCAGATGGACTTATATCTCAAAGAACTTCTTCCTTACCTAAATCTCCATCCCTTTTTGTTGATCAATCTGGTCCATGTACGCCTGAAGAAGAAGCAAAGAAATCACAATGTCTACGAGAATTACCAGCTGAACGATACGAAGTACTTGAAGGTGAAACAGTTTTAATGCGGTGTCGTGTAGCTAATCAAAGGGGGAAAGCACAGTGGCGTGCCAGAAACTTTTTATTAGGTGAGTAGATTAAATATTTCTATGAGTACTTTAACTAATAGATGCTTTGTTTTATTATTTGTATGACAGTTTTCAATTACAAAATAAAAGTATAACAGTGGAAAAAGTTTATGAAATGTTTTAAAACCTATCACTGTCTGTAAGATATTACCTGAAAATTTTGTACTTTTTATGAATCACAGTGACCACTGTAGAGTTGAAAAGAATAAACGTAGAAAAATACTGCCTAATATCCACTGGTTCTCAGTGATTCTCTGCACTATAAACTATCATGAAGATTTTTTTTAGTAATAGAAAATAAAGTCATTTCCATTGATAAGCATGTGTTGAAGACATAAAACGCCACAAATCACAATATTATACGCACAAATGTTTTGGTGAATCAGCCATATAATGTGCAATAATATCAGTTTTTTCTCTTTGTTTACAAAAGTATCAAATGTAGAAACTTTCAATGGTTAAAATTATGAGTCAGGTGAAGCTAGATTACCATGGAAAACCTGGAAGCAGAATAGGACGAAACGGCCGTCCAGTGCTTCCAAGTTTTCCATGATGGTCTAGCTTCAACTGACTTATGATCTTAACCATTGAACTTACTATATTATCCACAAAACCCATCTGATATAAATGTAGAAACTTTGTTCAAGGTTACTACTAGGTCGTAAAAATGAATATGAAGTAACAACTAATAGAATTCGAGACATAATAGTAATTCACACATGAACATTCATCAATAGAGAATATGTATTAGACACTATTCTTCATTTCAATTATGAAATAATCAGTTATTGTAATGTATATTTCTGCTTCCAAAATGATACAGAATATATTATAGATCCTACATAAATGTTTCTTACCAAAAAAAAGTTTGTTTTAAAATGTTAATTGTTTTCATGAAAGTCAACTAATTCTTTATTAAAAATAATCTGAAGTGTTAAAATCAATAGCCTCCATCACTCTTTAGAACCTTTATTGTACATCATGAAGAAATGTGTAACTCAACAATATAACGTTTTTCACTTTAATTCTGTAACTATTTATATACATTAACATTTTCAATGATCCATCTTGAAAAACTGGAATGTTATTCATGTGATTTCCTATAAGATCCAGTGACCATCTTCAATATTGAATTCATAGTTTGAAGTTGATGATGAAATATGTTCAAGGATGATGAATGTAATTCACTTGAATTTCATTTGAAAAATAAATTTCAATGAAATTCCTATTATATTGTTAGAAGGTAACAATGCAGTTTGAAAGTGTATTACATAACAATCTACAATCATTATACACAAATGTACCTGACCTTGATCAGTAGATAGTAAACGATTTAACAATGTCAAATGCATAATAACTTAAATAATTTGTTAGCAAATAACAAATGGTAACATTGACATCTAAGTGAAATGCAGGTAATTGATCGACAGTAAAACAGTATTTGTCTCAAAATTGTTTTTACTCACATTACTAATAAACAGTATTAAGTATATAATAGGAAATCTAAATTTGAGAGATAAACTTTTATTAATATTTTTGAGAACAGTTTAATTTGAAAAATAAGACTGCCTTCTTTTTTCTATTCAAATCAAATTTTAACCATAATGTCTTGTAACCAGTTATTCAAAGTAATTTTGTAATTGCTTTTCTATTGGTGACAAAATATTAAGCTAGTTATTAAGCTAATATATTTCTGTGAATCTAATTATGCTTATTTATCAATTCGTTGATTATTCGATTCATTTAATGAAGTGAAGATAATAACACTAGTTTAAATTTAGGTGGAAAGTGGTTGAGTTAGAGATTTCTTTGTCATTAGCCTCAAGCTTAAATAATGTGTAGATAAACAGAACAGGCATGAATCAACATTATCCACAATCCCAGTTGACAGTATATCGATCCGCCTAATCATATGAAGGTAATTTAAAATAATTTATAATCAAATAAAATAATGTTTCGAAAGCCCTAAAATTTATGACACATATATTTGAAAATGTTTTCTTATCTGGCAACACAAGTCCCTTGATGGTGAATTATGAATGTAGTTTTATTTGAAGAAAACACCGAATTTAAACACTTATGAAACAATCGGATTTATGAATTTGCAAACTCACATAATTACCATCTTTTCGACCTTCATTATTTCGTCCTGAATATACTATTTATTTGGGAATTATAAATTACACATTTTGTCAAAACATTTGTCATTGGAAATATATACAATGCTGTCATGTTGCAGATAAACTGAAATTAGTGTTTCCGCATACAACTTATCATCACATATATGATAACGACTTATTCCATTCCATTTGCCATCTTATGCATCCATATACAGTCAGCAGAGTAGTCAGAATATTCTGTTTAGTAACATGAAGCACACACTAAATTGATTTCCAAACAAGTGGAAGGCTCTTAACCAAACCAGTATGTAAGCAGTCATAATACTGCATAAGTAAATGTAACAGATTCAGATCAGATTTAAGGTTCTTTGAAATATCGGTAGTCTACTTAAATGTTTTGCTAAATATTTTGTAGTTGGGCACATATAGCAACCTACTTTAAAGTTTATTTGAATTGAATAATTATGATTCCTATCTGTTTGCATTTACTCTGTGTTATGAAGTGTTTACAAACTATCATGATGCTCAACACTCCAAATCTCAAAACAAAACACTTAGTTTCTAGTTTATTCTCCTCTGTCTCTAAACTTCTGAGGAAAAACGAGTGACAAATATATTGTAATTCTTGCATTTCGTTTCTGGAAGTTGGAAAATATCAACTTTCACCACTGAAGATGAGTAGAAAATAATAATTACTAAGAAATGTTAATAATTTTCATATAATAACAGTGTAAACTTATGTTAAGGAGAAACAATTTACAATTTTGAACTGTTGGTACTGAAGAACAAAATTATTATCATTATTATTATTCTGATCAAAACACTTGAGCGACATACGAAAACTGGTAAAAAGGCAAGCCTCCAGGAAATTGAATTTTTCTTTTTGCGTCATAAAGCAATCTTTTCTCACTTGACACCTCACAGTATCAGTGTGAAAACTGATCACTCTCTATTCCGTAACTATTTTCCAACAAAACAAAAGATTAATTGATGTCTGTATTTTTCAACTAGTAATAGAAATTTTCATTTATACCTAAACTGTTTATCATAGCTACATTGTCCCGTGTTTTCTTATCAACACATATATGTAAATCTAATAATAAAAAAGGTTATGATCCCATCGCTTATATGTACTTTCATGTTGATGATAAAGAAACTGTCATTTTTCATTTCATTGAATATTCTTATTGAGACATTAAAAAGACAAGCTGAGCGAAGAAATATTTCTTTTTATTTAGATCTTCATCAAGTCTCTACACTAATACATGTTTTATAAGTGAGGAGAAAGTCGATACCAATTAGATGGTTGTTAGTCAATTTAACAAAATAGTAAACTGTTAGTTACAAAACGTTTGGAAAATTGAAATTAAAAGTATAATCAAAGTGAATTCCCGTAATCCGTTAATTATTACAAATAGTTACATAATCAAAATTGGATGTAAATATGTTTTTGTTATTTATGAAGTTGTTAAGTAATCAATAGAACGGATACCGTGAAAATTAGATAATATGATTAACAAAGTGGATAAATAATATTAGAATTATAAATTTATGTGTTAATCAAATTGAATTCCAGAAATTTTTCAGAGAAGGGGAAAAAAGGTTTTGAAGTATGTATTGGTATCTATGTAGAAGGCCAAGTTAGATTCAAAGGTTTTGGTAGATTTCCATTCTCTGAGCTGGATGGTCTGGTCTTGGAGCTTTTATAGTTATTCTGAACGAAGTATTATAGGGTTGAAGTGTTCAAATTTTTCCACATATGGCTCACAGCTAGTCCTGTAGACCTTGATCTTGTTTGGTTATTGCTGACCATCAGCCTGTCATTATTTACTTCCTTATTTCGATGAAAAATAAAGGATAACAATGAAAGCTTCACGATCAAACCATCGGGCTCAGAGAACAAAAATCCACTAAAATCATCCACCTGAGTCACAAATCTCCACGAGCTTAGATTCCAAGATTGTATAAACTTCTTTTATGTACAAAGGCTATGCTTATTGAGAAATATTCCTATGGCTTCTACTATGTGCATGAGTCGGATACCGGAACCATAAGATACATTCGATGAGATTTTGTAAAGAATTAGAAACGCTCAATTTCCACCTATATGATGACCGTAAAAGATGATAAACATGTAAATGCAATTGATTTAAGGTGCAATTACATTGGCTGAAATAAGTAAATAAAAATATCTGTTTAGTAGAATCATAACAAATTAAAATCATATATCATTGTCATGAACATTCGGTTAACAGTAAGCAAAATCTCAGTATTAGCGAATATTTAAAACCACAATGTTATATCATTGTCTCTAGATCCATAAAGGACCTTAATATATCTACTGAAAATTCTTAAAGCACTAACTTAATGTTATTTAATTTTTTGTACTGATTACCGTTTGAACTATTATATTATATTATTAGCTTTATTCAGTACTATATTTTTGGTACACCATAGAATTCTCAGTACATAGTATTTTAACAAGTTTCCGTTTCTTACTTCTTAGTCGATCCTGACGATAAATATTGACTGATCGCCAGTCGGATGTTAGCAGTCCAGTCAATCGACATCTAAATAACGTAATTTTTTTCGCTACATATTGCCAGCAACCACGATAACTCTGACTGGATCTTCTTCCATTTGTACAACGAAAGGTTGTACACTTTTGAGAAACGCACCTGAATAGGTTATACGATTAATAGTCATAGTGTTGTACTAAAACAAACAAAATTAGATAACTTGTTGAAATATCTAGATGGCAGCCCAGATGTTCAAGCGGGCCGTTACTGACTTGATTTGCATTTGACATTTGTCAAGTCTAATACTAGTGATATACCATCTTGATTACGTGGATTATAAGAGTGTATTTTTAAAGGTTTC